CAGTGTACGTACTAACTAATTTACTTTGTTACACGAAGATATAGTTCGTAAATTACGAAGTATTTTCTTTGTAAGCTTAAAACGCTAAATAAAGCCTTAAAACGTTTTAAATTGTGAAATTTCTGAGTAAAGCAAGGTGTACTCACCCGTACTCATGTACTAATTCTGGTGTACACATTGTGTACACCAGAACGCCGAGTGATTCACCCCTCGTTAAAATGTACTTTGTTCTAACAAACTGCTTTGCTTTGTAAGGCCTGAAATAGTTTGTAAAGTTTTCTCAGTGTGCAGGAAGCGAAAATAGTAGTATGGGACCTGTCGTTGGGCTTTACTGGCAGCAATTAGCCGCATGACGTCCTCTGGCCTGGATAAAAGGATGGAGGAGGTAATCTTGCCTGTCCAGCTGGCCCTATGTCTGGGCCTGGTGGCCTGGTGGGCCTGTCGAGCCCGGCCCTGTTCACTCACCTGTCGGGCCGCTCATGGCCAGTGACACGCAGTGACCCAGGTGTGTCGGCCAGGCGGGCGCAGGTGATGCAGTAATCCGTCGGCCAGAGGCCCAGGGCCGCGAGGCGAGGCACTACTCTGTATCACTCGAGTCCGGACGAGGCCGACTCAGGGCGCGGCACGAAGGGGAGCGTTCGCGGTGCGTCGCGGTGGTCCGCGGCCCGCGCGGCTCGGCGTCGTGGTCGTCGTCGTCGGTCTCGGCGTGAGCGGCGCGGCGGTCAGCGGCGAGGCGCGGCGGGCGTGGAGTCGGTGAGGACTGCGCGGGGCTCGGCGCGGCGAGGGGGCGCGTGGAGCCGAGCCGCGCAGCGCCAGGGGTGGGGGCGGCACTGCCACCCCCGCCACCGCCACCGCCCCACCCTGCCCCCACCACCGCGACGCACCGATACCAGCGCTTTTCCATATTCCAGTTGAACTTTCCGCGGTTTTGCGCTTCCCCTCATGTTCCTCAAAGCCCGCCAAGCTCGCCCCGAGCTTCTTCTCTCGCGCCGCCGCCGGCAAAGTCATTTCCCCGCCACCGGGAACTAATTTCCACACTTGAAACACCTCCAGGGCCCGAGACTCCCAAGACGCCACCCCGCGGGGCCCGCCCCGCCTCGCCCCGAGCAGATGCCGCGGCGTGACAGAAATTCCAGTGCGCTGGGGATTGCCCCGGCAGCCTGGAAGCGTCACTTTAAAATTCTGGGGAAAGAAGAGAAGGCCGTCTGAGAGTGTTCCTTCCGCGCGAGACACGGAGTAAGGCAAATCCGCGATTTAGTATGCGCTGTCCGAGAGAAAAAAGAAAGGTTATTGTTGAAGTCGAAACGTTTCCACTCATGCGTGTCTGACCTAACCTAACTAACCATTCAGTTTTAAAAATGACAGCGAACAGGATTCACGATGTCTTGCACAGGACCTAGTTACTGCGACGACCGTGTTATTATTTTTTAAACCGGTCCCCTCGGCGGACCGTCTTCCTCCATTCATTATAGTGCCTGGAAGGCTCGCTGGAAGGGATTTTCCGCTTCCTCCACCCGCCGGCTCCAGACGGCCTATGCAGAGTGACTTCGAACCGTGTTGTCGTCGCTCTGTCTCTCTCGCTCCCACTGAGCGTCTTGGAGGGGTGCGAGAGAGAAAGAGCGACAAAACACTCCTGTTCGGAATCAGTCTGCTACGCCTACACTTTGTTTTGGTTGTGACTTTGGCGCTACACTGCTCCGCACCACGCTGGTCCAGCGTCCTGTTCTCACGCCTTGCTCTGGAAAATAAATTCCAGGTGGAGGGCATCCACTGTGGTTTTTGCTCTGCTACGTACGAGCAACACGTGATTCACCGGGTACACACTCCAAATTGAAAGGCGGTAATATTTCCACCCTTTTGTGGCGGTACTTTTTTAAAAGGCGGGCTCCAGATTTTACCGCCTTTGGGAAGGCGGTATAGTTTTACTGCCACAAAAAGGCGGTACATCATCAGGCCAGGAGAAAAAATAGTTTGAGGTACTTGAATGGCGGTATGAAGTTACCGCCAATTAAGAGAAGGAATTTTCATTACCGCTAATAAATATTACCGCCAATGGACAGGAGACCATTTTGTACTGTCAATACGGGGAAGTGTGGTCATATATGTATAGCACCGCTCTAAACCATAATGTTGTACCACATTGCAAGCAAGAATTATAATTACCGCTTATTGCGAGCAGTAAATTTTGTTTCCGTTTTTAAACTAAGAGGTCCTTGTTCACTTGGCAGAGCCGCTAACATTCAGTTTCCTGAAGTCAGATGTACTCACATTAATCACTGTGGCACTGCTTCTTTGATGAAATTAGCAGAAATGTTGAGGTAACTCATAAAGCTTGTATTCAAACATGTAGCATTGTACACTGTTAAACTGGGCCCAGAGCACAGGAGCTCAGACCACAGACTGTGTTGATGAACTTCTATAAAATTTTTACAGTTAATCCACTTCACTCGCAGTTTTACAGTTGCTTCCATGGTAAAGAACAATCCTCGCCCACACTGGACCCCGTTGGCACCAGACGTCATTGCCCAAAACTAGAAGAAACTGAATAATATTGATATGCATGCACAGTAACAGGCGGCCATTTTCTTTCTGCAACTTGTTTTGTTGACGCGACGAGTGACTGCGAATATCTGATATTTTTATGGGCAGTTACGGGTCGGCTGTACGCACGACATAGGCAGTATTCGCAGTTAGAGGCCTACAAAAACAAAAGCAGAACCACGGAGCAGAATGGTGGCAGAACTAACCTGAAAATCAGAGACAAAGGGCTGCCGTCGGTTCGTGTTTTTGTCCAATATCCATAAATATAATCAAGTTTCCTCTGGTTTTGTGAGATGGCGACCTTTTGCCAACTGTGTCGTGCGTGGGCGAAGATTGTTTGCTATCATCCAAGCTACAGTGAAAGTGCGTGTAAAATGAGAAAACCGTCAAAACTTCATAAGTTTATCACATCTGTGCTGCACCAAGCCCAGTTTACCAGTGCAGAAAGCTTCAAGATTTGATGCTATCTGTTTTGGGTGACTCAACCTGTTTGCCATATTTATCTTCTGAGCAGCAGTTTCACTGCTGTGCACTCAATCATGATTCATGTGAGTACATCTGACTTCAAGAAAACTGAATGACAGCGGCTATGCTATGCAAGTATGGACCTCTCAGTTTATGAGCGTCACAACTGTCGTTTCTCTTAAGAGTCCCCAGTGGGCCTGACAACCTACACCGGTAATTAGAAAAGTTTTCTATTGATTTTGTGTGCAATCATAATCTAGTAACTTATCCAATCTGCCATGAATTCACACATCACCTAGGATATATTAACAATTTTGGATTCAGCGAGACATTTATATCTGACCACAATGGTACAGTGCAGGCGGTAAATCAAACAACCGCCTTTTGATGAGCGGTATTGATGGCTTGTGTTTGGCGGTAATTTAGGTACTCCCTCTGACTGGCGGTACTGATTCAATGTTTTAATAACTGATGGAATAGTTGTGGCGGTAAATGAAAGTACCGCCTTTGATTGGTGGTAATGATGGCATGTATAAGGCGGTAATTTCAATACCGCCTTTTTTGATACATTTGTACCGCCTTTCAATTTGGAGTGCAGGGGTTGTCACAGGGAGTCGTTTTCGTCACTTTGTCTTCTCTACCGCACTCAGGGGGCGTCCCGCTAAGGTGCGAGAGAGACAGAGCGACGAAAACGACACTCAGTCTGCAGGTCACGCTGTGATTGGTGGGCGAACATGCGACCAAACTTACGTCATTTTGGAGGGCCGAGGGCCTTCCAGGGCCCCGCCCCCTTTCCCTCATGTCGTCTCTCTCGCTCTGACAATGCAGATGAAACGCTATGTCCGCACTCCACACTCTTCCGGTGGCGAACGGAATTCAGGAGAAAGCACTCGCAAACAAGCGAAGCACACACAATCCACAAAACAAACGCCATGCGGGTGGTGAAGGTGATGAGCTGTTGTTGGCGCCACAGCGCTGCGTTTCTTGGACTTTTTAACAGTGCCACGACTATGGGCCTACACTCTGTACGCAGAGCCTCGACACTTTTAGATGGATCTCATTAAAAAGAGATATCACACTGCGAAGAGGGCGCACAAAAATGCGAGCTTGACGCCTGGACAAAAATGCAAAGAGAACTAGCGGAAAAACAAAAAAGCATGATCTTATGCACACACGCACACAGACACACACACACGCGCGCACACCAGTGCTCGTCACGGAGAAAGTTATAGGCAGGCAGCCAGTGTGACCCTGAGTGACACGCGGACGCACGCGGCGCCACGGTCACCAGAGCGTCACGCGGCGCTGAGGCTGTGCTCCAGGCCGCGCTCCAGGCCGGCGTGACGGTGAGCCGCACCCGGACTTTCAGCGCGCACTCAGTCCGTGCCCAGCCTCCCGCCGACGAGCACCTGGAGCACGCCGTCAGCGCCGTCACCGAGGCCACGTCGGGCACCTCGAGCACGCCGTCAGCGCCGTCACCGAGGCCAGTGCCGTCACCGAGGCCACGACGGGCATTTCGAGCACGCCGTCAGCGCCCTCACCGAGGCCACGTCGGGCACCTCGAGGCCACGTCGGGCACCTTGAGCACGCCGTCAGTGCCGTCACCGAGGCCACGACGGGCACCTCGAGCACGCCGTCAGCGCCGTCACCGAGGCCACGGGTAGTGCCGCGCGCGCGTCCGTCATCGCCGTCTAGGAGTACGCCGAGGAGGTGTTTGCTGGTGCAGCAAGGAGTGCAGTGCAGTGAAGTGCAACGTGCGCGCCGCCATGACCCCCCTGGCCGCCTGAGGGGCGCCGTGCCGGCCATGCCGCCACCGCGGCCAGCGAGCTGATGGCGGCCGGGGCGCGGGCCGAGGGGCGCGGCCAGGGCGGGCGCGGCGGCCGGGGCGGCGCGGTGGTCGCGGGCCGGGTGTGGACCGACCCGGCCTCCGGATGGCCCTTCCGAGCCCCGCGGAGGAGCAGGGGCACCAGCAGCGAGAGCTTCGGCATCTTCAGGTCGTCCGGCCGGCCGGGCAGGACGACGGACAGCCATGGCGTCAAGGACACGCCGCGGCACGCCACCCGCTGGGCGGTGTTCGCCGTGCTCGCCGCCATGCTCACGCTCTTCGTAAGTACACTGCAGCAAAGGGAGGGTGGAGCGCATAGCGCCTGCGCAGTGCCACCCCAATGCACGCCTGCTTCGAGCAGAGCGACGGATGCCTACCTCCCAGGCGATCCGAGAGTTGTTTTCGCCGCTCTGTCTCTGCCGCACCTATGCGGAACGCCCCCTGAGTGCGACAGAGACAGAGCGACCAAAACGACTCTCGGTATCAGCCTGCTGGTAGAACTAAACGACGCCTCCCGGCAAAAGAGGCCTATCTTTCCCGCACATCTCTAGACAGTCCTACCTCTTCCGCACCGGCCTAGTCAGCCCTATCTTTCCTCTACGTCTCTAGAACGTTTTATCTTTCTGGCGCCCGGCCCCTAAAACGAGACATCTTCTTCAGACGCTCTTTTGGGAGCTACCTTTCACTGTCTGCATACCTTCGGTGGCCTGATCCGCACACTTGACTTCAGGTGTAAACCGTAGTTGTTTGCTCGTGCTATAGTAATTCAGTTCTACCGGTGTCGCGCGCGTCGCTTAGATTGCCTGCCACCTTCGCTGCCACCGCCAATCGGCCCTCCAGCACACTGCCGGCACGGCGCGGCCCAACAACACAATCGGGACTTCCCTCCTTCACTTCCCCTCCCCCGAGCCTTTTCTATCCAGAACGGATGGCGCGATTGTTGTACGAGTGGGAATAAGGCGCGAAAGGGAGGGGGGAGGGGGAGAGAGAGGGAGAGGGAGAGGGAGGGGGAGAGAGAGAGAGAGAGAGAGAGAGAGAGAGAGAGAGAGAGAGAGAGAGAGAGAGAGAGAGAGAGAAGGGGAGAGTGACGCGGAAAACGGATAAGTTGCCTATCTCCTCCTCGCGCAGCTGGGGCGGGTGCGGGTCGGGGGGCTTGCAGTGGAGGGGCAGGGGGAGAGGAAGGGGGAGGCAAATTTAGTGTTTCCTACACGGGTCCCTCGCACACGTCACTTGCTATGCATGGAGTCACAACTTGAGAGGGAAAGGGGGTTAAGGATACCAGAGTATCGCGAGTATCGTCTGTGTGCGTGTGTGTTGGGGTGATAACGCTGATAATAGCGCGCGCGCGTGCGTGTGTGTGTGTGTGTGTGTGTGTGTGTGTGTGTGTGTGTGTGTGCGCGCGTGCGCGCCTGTGTGTGTATCTGCGTGAAGGGGTGGGGGCGGGGGAAGGGCCCTGTGGAAGCTATTATCGCTCGTCCAGGGTGAGGGGTGGGGATTTCGCTGCTGCATTTTCGGCGTGTTGAGGGAGGTGCGAGTTATGCGGACAATATCTGCGTCGCGGTGGCCGTGGCCGTGGCTGAGGCCGTGGCTGAGGCCGTGGCCGTGCTCGGCTCGATGGCACATCTTGATGCACCGCCATTATTGAATGTGGGAGTATGCAGGGAATGCGGCAAGCCTCGGGCAAGCCACGACGACCTTGGTCGAGGCCGGCCGAGGCCTTGGCGGTGCAAACCTCTCCGTGGAGGTCATCGAGGTCATAGAGTTTCCCTTATTGCTCGCCTCACTGCGCCAAGGTGGCGGCAGCTGCCTGGAGAAGTTCAAGGGCGGATTCAAAGGGGCCTTTCACCCCACCCTCTTTCTTTTCACCCTAGAGAGCCGCCTAAAAACTAGGCAAAAGGCAACACTTTGCCCAATCAGGCAAAAAGCAACTCACTGCCTTATCTATTAGGCAAAAAGTGCTACTTTACTCCTACCTCGATCCCCCTTAGAGACGTCATTGGACCAGTTCAAGGACTTGAACGATAGCGAGGCCTCCATCCGTCGCGAAAAGAAAGCTCTTAAGACGGGCGCTCTCGACAGCGAACTCATTTTCCGTCAGTCTGGATGTTGTTGTTGATTTAGCCGACACCCGACGATCTGTGCCAGATTGCTACGGGTATAGAAAGTGTCACCCGTCAAGCCTGACAGCGGCACGCTGCAGCAAAGGCTCCGGGCGAGACGAGGATTATCTTGTTTCGGCGATTGGTTAGAAAAAGACTGTAATTAAATAGCACGCCAGCACCCCGTTCATCAGAGAATACGTCAAAGTTTCATAAAAAGAAGTTCAGGGGTCAAGGCACGATCGTGGGTCAGGGTGGCCGGGCGACTAAACCTTCCATTAAACTTGAATATTTTGTTTTGTTTTGTTTGTAGATTTGCCTGCTGTTTGTGGACTTTACCCAGACCGCGCGGAGCCCCTCGAGGAGGGCGGTGAACGTGACGGACAGGTCGGCCGCAGTGGAGGACGGCAGGAGGCAGGGGGAGGAGGACGGGTGGGGCCAGGGGCGGGGGGAGGGGCGGGGGGAGGGGCGGGAGCCTGTCCGGCGACGCGGGCAGGAGACGCCGCCGCACCGCCGCCCGCGCCCCTTCTCCTACCCCATCCCACACCGCGGCGACTACGGTCGGTCGCTCAAGGGCCACGACGAGCCCGCCCGGGAGCCTGGACAGCCTGGGCACCCTGGTGCGGGGCTTGGCGTCGGCGAGAGCAGCGACGAGGCCGCGCACCACCAGGACGACGTCGTGGAGGACGACTTGGAGAGGCAGTACGGCGCCGAAGACGAACCTGAAGAGTATTTGACGAGGCGGGACGACGTCGAAGACGAACCTGAGGACTATTTGGCGAGGCGTGACGACGTCGAAGATGCATCTGACGACCATTTGGCGAGGCAGATGGACGCTGAAGACGAACCTGCGCACGGCACCGTTGACGAGGACCATGGGCACACCGAGGACGCCGAGGACTACGGGGGCGGGCAGAGGGACGAGGACTACTACGACGCTCCGCCGACGGGGCGCGCCTATCGCTCCCTTGCGGTGGACCACGCCGGGGACACCGACGTGGAACCGCCGTCCGCGCCGTCAGGGAACGACGGCGACGTGCAGGGTCGGGAGGTCAACATCGTAGAGCCACAAGGCGGCGAGGAGTCGCCGCACGACGAGGAGGGCGTCGAAGTGTCAACAGAACCGCCGCCGTACGCCGCGCCGCTGTCCGCCGAGGATAGGTCGGACGACGGGCAGCCCGACGACGCCGTGGCGCTGCCCTACCACGTCGGCCTGGACGTCAACTGGCCCAGGGCGGACGAGCCACTGCAGCAGCAGCGGGCGCGGGAGCGGTGGCTGGAGCGCATGCAGGAGGAGCTGCAGTCCTCGCTGAAGGCCGCGCGGCGCCACCAGGACTTGCAGCGCAGGAACGGCGTGTTCGCCGAGCTCGGCACCATCCAGGGCGAGCAGATGGTGCTGCCGCACTACACCGTGCAGGACAACCTCGGGCCCGTCCTGTTCCCCGCCAGCACCAAGCAGCACCAGCAGCAGCTGGACGTGTCGGGGACACACTTCGTGCCCAAGAAGCTCATGAAGCTGATGGTGTCCCTCCAGGGCGGCGGCAACAAGCCCTGGGCCTTCCCGCAGCAAGTCAGCCAGGCCCCGAACCAGTACCTGGTCGTCAACAACAAGGGCGTCGTCATCCCGCACAGCGTCAACTTCCCCGACATCGTCAAGACGGCCAACTTCCCGCAGCTGCAGCCCTACCGCAACCCGCACAGCAGCAGCAACAAGCACCTGCAGGACGTCGCCAACTACCTCAAGAGCAAGGGCTACGTGGTGGGGGGCCGGCGGCCGTACGCGTGGAGCGGCGCCGCGCTCAAGAAGGCCGCCAAGGTGACCGGCGTGTACGGCGGCCAGCAGATGCAGCAGGCCGTGCCGCAGGAGGCGTTCCCGTTCCCGCGCCCCGAGCCCTACGTCAACGACATGGCCTTCATGGACTCGGCCGAGTCCATGGAGCGTCCCGGGCCGGACTCGCACTACAACGGCCACGCCTACGTCGCGGACCCCTTCCACCCCTACAAGCCTTCCGACCCCACCGAGATCAACCACATGGCCTCGGCCATGGACTCGGAGGTGTCCGCGTCGGCGAGCTCCGAGTCCGTGCGGCACTCCGGCTTCGTGGACGAGGTGGGCGAGCCGTTCGCGCCGGCGGGGCGGCCTGCGCTGCCGGGGCTGCCCGGCCTGGCCGTGCCGCCGGGGCGGTTCGCGCGGCACCGCCACCCCTTCCTGCAGCCGGGCGGGCCGCAGTACACCGAGGCCACGTTCAAGCCGCTCGGCCCGGACACGGCGGCGTCGACGACCCCGGCGGCCTCGGACGCGGCGTGGCGGGGCGCGGCTGGCAAGTCGGTGCCGCCGCTCAGCGTCATGCTGGAGATCTTCCCCATGGGGCAGGCCAAGGCCAACGACGGCGCCGCCACCGTCATGTGGAACAACCTCCCCGTGGCGGCGCTGCGGCCGGTGGTTCGTCGGCCGCCCAGCGTCACGGCGCAGCAGGCCGTGGCCCAGCATGTGGCGGCGCAGCACGCCGCGCAGCACGCCGTGGCGCACCAGGCCGAGAGCAGCCTGCGGAGGCCCGTCGCCCTGCCGTTCGACCCCATGTCGCTGGCCGCCGCCTCGCCCGTGGCCTCCAGCGCGTCCTCCGGCGCGAACCGCTTCCCCGTGCTCATGCAGGGCCAGCTCTCGGCCGGCAACGGCCAGCCCTTCGGAGTGACGCTGTCCGGCCTGCAAGGCCTGCAGTCGCTCGCCGGCATGCCCATGCTCGACTCCAAGCACAAGATGGTGGTGCACCTCAACTTCTACCCCAAGAAGTCCGTCAGCCTACCCATGCGCTTCAGGTATGGAAAAAACCAAAGTTGCTGATTGTCATTCATGTGTGTCGGTTAGTGCGGGGAAGAACCGAACTCCATGGGGGAAATCCGAGGGCCAACAACTTGAATTTTGGTGTACAATTCCCTCGAAATAACGTGAAATAACGGTGAAATAACGTGAAATAACGTAGAAATGAAGCTGAAATAACGATGAAATAACGTGAAATTACGCGATACAACGTTGAAAGACCCTCGAAATAACGTTGAAATAACGTGATATAACGTGAATTTAGAATAATGGTGAACAAATTTTGCGAGGTTGTTTGCCTTTGGAAAATCAGACGCCCTACCAGTGACACCCATTTTAATACTGGACTGTCTTATTTTGAGACTCACTTATACCCTAGTAGTACGTGATAGTGTAGAGACCATTAACTTAGGGAACGTTTCCAGGTATCAAAAGGAGACAATTCAGTCTAAAATCTCTCTCCACCTTAACCCTACATAGCTCAATTTTTTTTTTGTGCGCTAATGAATGCTCTACATTACAGGGACTCAGGAACCTCTGATAACATCGGCCAGGGTGCGTCCATCCTCCAAGGAGGGACCTTCGCCCAGCGGAGGCAATGTGAGTTTTTGAAATTTTATTTGCCTTTCGGGGAAATTAAAATGGGTGCTCGTTTCTTATTGTTGTTGGAAACATTCCAGCCGTGCCAGAGGACCAGGCGGCAGACCCGTTGGGCTCGGTGGCGGTGGACCTGGCCCCGCTGCTGCAGTCCCTGCCGCCGGACATGCAGGGCCACCTCATGGCCATCCTGCAGACGTACCAGCGCGCCGCGCCGGCCAAGGACACCGTCAGGGACGCCGTCAGGGACGGTGGCAGGGACGGCGGCAGGGACGGCCTCCGGGACGCGCGGAGCGACGAGTACCTCGACGAGGACTCCGACGTGGACAGCAGTGGTGAGTCCGCGGAGGAGTACGACGACGAGGCTCTCCTCGGCGGCCGGCGGCCGAAAACCAAAGACCAGCGGCCGGTGCCCAGGACGGCCGGCGGCGTCGACGCCGAGCCCTCGTTCAACAGCGTGGAGGACAGCGGCGAGGTGCCGAGCGTACCGCAGCACGTCGCCGACTGGCTGGCCGCGTCCGCGCCGAAGAAGACCGCCAAGGCCGAGCAGACGCCGGCCGCCGCCAAGGACAGCGGCTCGTACTTCGACGTCCAGGAGGACGCCGACAAGGACGACTCCGTCGAGGACACGACGCAGCCCGCCATCACGGACGAGGAGGCCGCCAAGGCCAACAAGCGCTTCATGGAGGAGGTGGAGGAGGCCCTGAGGGACCGCATGACCCTGTGGCGGCACTGGAAGCAGATGCAGCAGCAGCAGAAGGGCTCCAAGTGGAAGCGGAAGAAGACGCCGCCGCGGACGCAGAGGGACAGTCTCGCTTACAGTGACGCGGTCGACGACGTGGTGTCGCTGGCGGAGGGGGCGTCGTCTGCTGTGCCCAAAAACCATCGTTTGAATTGAAGCAGAAAAATTCGTCGCCATTCAGTCGATAGGTACAAATTAGTTACAGTAAAAACCGAATTCAAAAACAACTAGGGAAATAGGCTAATTATTTATTGTATTTAAAAGTGGCATTGGTGTGTGTTTTTGACGTGGGCACAAAATTAGAGATTGGTTTCCAAAACCAGCAGGACTGGTTGAAAAATGTACGTTGTACAGAATCTCCAGTTTTTTACCCGCGTCAAAACGATTCCTCGTGCGAAATCGGAATATTGTTGTTGTTGTAGTGAACACTACTGCGTATATGTTTCCCTGGCAGCACCGTTGTGCACAACGGTACGACCACCTGAAATACAGACGACATGTGGAGTGGAATGATGTGAGTGTGTGTGCTGTTCATTTCGCCGCCGCAATGTAGGCCCACGATTGAGGGCGCCGCCTCAGCGCCATGTTCGCGCGGCGCCACACAGTGTGCCACACACGCTCTGACAATCACAGTCTAGTTAACGACTTAATTAGAGCCCTTCCAGGCCAGCCAGGCCGGGCAGGCCAGCCAGGCCACCCACGTCTCCAGGTTGATGAGGGCGGGGATAAACATTGCCAGACACGTGTGCCAGGCGGCCTCACGCCAAGCAGCGGCTTCCTTTCTTCTGTCTTCCGCTCTCACTTTTTCTTCGGCGACGCGCTGCGCTCGGGACTGTCGCTGTCGCTGTCGGCGTTCTCCTTGTCGTCGTCGGCGCGCCGCGGCTTCTTCCGGAGGGTCTTGGGGCGCGCGCCGCCGACGGCGTCCTGGAGCGGCGGCGGCCGGCTGTCGTCCGCGGCGGTGGCGGTCGCGTCGTCCTGGCGGGCGCGCGTCCAGATGCAGGTGAGCGGCGCGCGCGTCACGGCCGGGCCGTGGATCACGAAGGGCGCCAGGCTGGGGTGCGGCGGCGGTGACATGCGCTTGCCCGTCCGCGGCGACTTGGGCACCGGGCCGACGTCCACGCCGTGGACCACGCCGTGGATCACGAAGGGCGCCAGCGTCGCGAACGGCGGCGGCGTGGCCTTCTTCTCGCGCCGGTACGCGGCCTCCGGCGGCGGCCTCGGCGGCTTGCCTTGGATCACGTACGGCGCCCACGTCGCGTACGGCGGCGGCGTGGCGCGGCGGCCGCGCCGAGGCGGCGGCTCACCGGGCCGCGGGTCCGGGCCCAGGCCCTGCACCACGAACCGCACCGACGACGGGCACGGCGGCGGCGCGTAGCGCTTGGCGCGCCGCGGCGGGGCGTCGAGCAGCGACAGCGGGCTGCTCTGCGCGGCAAGCGTTAGTCTGTGCTCCGTCTCTCTCGCACCCGTGTGGCATGCACCATGAGTGCGAGAGAGACAAGGACAGCGGAACTTCTCGGAATCGATCCAGCCCTGGGCGGCCCATTGCTCCGGCCTCACCTGTGCCATAAAGTCGGGGCCGTTTTGCAGTGGCGGCGTGACCGCCTCCTCCACGACCCCTTCTTCATCTTCCCTCTCTTTTTCCCGCTGGTCCGCCAAGCGCTGCCGGATGGTCTCGAGGCGTGCCAGTGGCTGCTGCAGCTGCTGCTCCTTGGAGGCGGCCCCGCTCTCGCCCACCGCCCCCGCCGCCCCCGCAAACTGGAGCGCAAATAAATCAAACTGCCATCATTTTATGGCCTAGTGACGACGCGGCGTGTATCTGGAACTCGCGTATGCATGAGGCGGCTGTGCTGTACCAGTGTGCCCGTGCCACACGACAGAATAATTGGGGCGGGCCCACTGAATGCAGAGCATCATTTTATTATGAAGCGGGGGTGTGCCAGTGTGGGGGTGGAAGACGCGGCACGGCGCGGCGCGGCCAGCAGACTGATTCCGAGAGTCGTTTTCGTCGCTCTGTCTCTCTGGCACTCTTGGGACGTACCGTATGGGAGCGAGAGAGACGGGGCGACGAAAACGACTCTCGGAATCAGCCTGCAGCCATGTTCCATTTACATATGCGGGGCCAGAAGTACCGCCAGGGGGCCGCCGCGCCGCGCCGCGCCACGCCGTGCCGCGGAGGGCGGATTTATCATGCGGGGAATCCCAATGAATGCGACTCGCCGCCGGAAAGGAAGGGTCGAGATTTAAATCAGCGCCCCGCATACCTGGCGCGCCTGGAGCGCGGTGTCGGCGGCGTTGTCCGCCGCGGCCGGGGCCGGGACCAGGGCCGTGGAGATAGGCCGAGGCGGCGACGGCGGCGTGGTGGTGGAGGGAGGCTGGCTCGCGGGGGGCGTCGCAGGCACGCTGGGCGAGGCGGGCGAGCCCGGGGAGGGCCGCTGGCGGCGACGGTGGTATCCGCGCGGCACGGCGTGGGGCACGGCGTGGGGCACGGCGTGGGGGCCCTGGGCCGCGGCCCGGGGGTGCGGGGCGTGGCCGGTGTGGGCCGCGACCACCGCCAGGGCCAGGGGGTCTGCGATAACGGAACGGCTCAAGCCCTAACCCCATCGCAGTGGAAAGGGAACAGTCGAAATTGGGTCCATGAGATGGCCCTATGGCGCCCTATGGCCCCGGCTCTACCACGCCGACCTACAGAACAGACAGAAACACACAGGGCGGTGGAAGAACCCGGTCCGGTCTGGCCGAACGTAAAAAAGGAATTTTACGCGACGAAAAAAAATGCCTCTCCCAACCCCAGTCTTCCTTTGTTTCGATCCCGAGTGACAATGATTCCACCTGTATTGCAGCCCTGCGAAAAAGGCGCGGAAGGTGAGATACGGCCCCTGTCAGTATTCGATCCCGTAAACTGAGAAATAGCCGCGTCAGCTGTCGCTATCCGGGACAAAAGAAAGCGATGCTACAGTGCAGGTGAGGTAAGTGGAGGGGGGTGGGAGGGGGGGGGGGCAAGCGAAAGTGCGGCGCGGCGCCAGTGCCATCGCCAGGCGGCGCGGCAGCCAGCACCGTTTCACGCGTCCAGGAATAGGCGAATAGGCCGCGAGCCTGGCATGCGCCGCTGCCGTGCGCCGCAGACCATTCCGAGAGTCGTTTTCGTCGCTCTGTCTCGCTCGCACCCACACGGGCCGCCCCATGAGTGCGAGAGAGACGGAGTGACGAGAACGACTCTCGGCATGGTTCTGCTGCCGTGTGCTGCCTCGAGTGGCCGTGCGGCCTTGCGCTCTGCGGACGCCCTTTGGAGCTTTTGAGTGCGTGATGCATCTTGGCCCAAGGCTGAGGGAGAGTCGCTCTGTCTCTCTCGCACTCACAGTGCGTCGCGGAGAGGTGCGAGAGAGACAGGGCGACGGAATGTCCCAACGGGATGCCCCGTGAATTCGACAGAGACGGAGTAACCTTGTTCGGAAGCTGTCTCTCTGCAGAGAGACAGCCATGGAGTGCGAGAGAGACAGAGTACAGTAGCGTGACCGTTCGGAATCGGTCTGCAGGCCCAGGAGGTCCAAGGCGCTCTCGGGAAGTGCATGCATATTGAGTGGCCGCCTGGTAGGCCCCAAGTCTGTATGGATCAAAGGGACTCGACGACGACCTGGTGCGCCCTGCGCCTTTAGACTTTGTCGCCCTGTCTCTCTCGTACCTACATAGGACGCACAGTGGGCCAGAAGACCGGTGGAGGCGGACAAAACTCTAGACGCGTTTTGAGCTACAGAGTCGCTAAACAGGACTCGAACCGAACATGTGACCCCCACCAATGGATTTCTCGTTCGGAGAGCAATCCATTGGTGGGGTCACACGTTCGGTTCGAGTCTTGTTTAGCGACTCTGGAGCTCAAAACGCGTCTGGAGTGTTTTCAGCCTCCACCGGTCTTCTGGCCCATTGTAGGACGCCCCTTGAGTGCGAGAGAGACAGAGCAACGAAAATGCCTCTCGGAATCAGGCCGCCTTGCGCATGACGGCGTCCTCACCCGTGATCCTGTGCACGCGCCTGATGTGCCCCACGGCGGCCCCGCGCTCGCCGCCGGGCGACAGGGACACTGCGGGCGGCGGGGGCGCTGCCGGAGAAGGGGCCGTTAGGCAGTGTGGGCGCCGATGCCGTAAACGAGAAACAAATAAAACGCCGATCATCCATCGGGCCTGTCGAGCCGAGCCGAGCCGGACCGGGCTTACCTATCGGCTGGGACCTGTTGTTGGGCCCCTCCCCGCCGCTAAAGCCAGGGAAGGACTCCAGCTCCCTGGCGCTGTGCGGCCGGACCCGGCCTGCCCGCAGCCGCGCCGCCCCCGGCCCCACCACGAGCCGCCCCCCGGCCGCCCCCGCCCGCTGGACGACCAGGCGGCGCGGCACGGCGGGGATGGGGACCAGCGGCTGGGCGCCCTCGGCTTCTGCTGCAAGTGCGGGCCGGGAGGGTGGCCTTGGCGGCGGCGGCGGCGGCGGTGGCTGCTGTGGTGGGGGCGGCGGGGGCGGTGGCGGCGGCACCAGCTCCGTCGCGGTGCGAGGTCTGATCAGCCGCGGCGGCTCCCCGGCAAGTGGTGCTGCAGCACACGCGCGCGCACGTGCGGTATAGCGCCCTCACTGCAAATCGCCGGGCATTCCGGGCGATATAGAAATACCTATCCGAGTGGACGCGGGCAGCGCGCCGGGCGAGGGGGAGGGGGAGGCCACGGCGGTGGACGGCGACGCCAGGCCGTGCGAGTCCACGGGGGTGAGGGGCATGGTGCGGTGGATGATGGGAGGGGCGATGGTCGGGGCGAGGGCCATGGGTCCCCGGTGCAGCCTCCCCGGGGGTCGCTCCATGAGCCTGACGGGCTGGGGCACCTGCCTCGCGTCAAACAACGAGGAGTCATGAGTCGCGGCCCCACAGCGCACTGCGCGGGAAAAAGAAGAAGAACCAGCACACGACATCTGTCAACCCGTGGTTTCGGCTCGAGTGAAACTGAAGGCTGCTTTCGAGAGTCATGTTGGACGCTCTGTCTTTCTCGCAACGGGATGCACCATGAGTGCGAGAGAGGCAGAGCGCCGAAAAAGACACTCGGAATCAGTCTGGTGCGGCCTACAGACAAGAAGCACAGCGACGCGTCAACGGAGGAAGCGGCTGGGAAAAAACGCACCTGTCTGCATGTTTGATCATCGTGAGAGAGGAGCGACTCGATTTCATCCGGCTCTGCACAGTGGGCCAGAAGACCGGTGGAGGCGGACAAAATTGTAGACGCGTTTTGAGCTACAGAGTCGCTAAATGGGACTCAAACCGAACGTGTGACCCCCACCAATGGATTGCTCTCCGAACGAGGAATCCATTGATGGGGTTACACGTTCGGTTCGAGACCCATTCAGCGACTCTGGAACTCAAAACGCGTCTAGAGTTTTGGCCACCTCCAACGGTCTTCTGGCCCACTGTGTTCTGTTTCGCCAACGCTGGGGCGTTGCGGCACTCCCCTCTGATTGGCCGTACCTGGATCCCATCGGCGGGCAGCACTGGCTGCAGCACGGTCTGCTGCCGCGCCGCGTCCGTGGTCATGGTGGTCATGCTGGCCGAGTTTGAGGTTACGGCGGCCCCGCGGTGCGACGCGCCGCGCCGTGGCGCTCTGTGGGGACCTCGGTGGGGCCTGTGTGCCACAGTGTGTGGGCTGTGGACGGCGGGGCGGGTCGCTGCTTGTCCCTTGCGACGCTTGCCATGCCGGCCATGCTGGCAGGCAGCCCGGCCGGCAGCCCTGCAGGCAGGCCAACCGGCCAACCGGCCAACCCGCGGCCGGCGCTCTATTGTTCCTTCCTTCCTCTTATTCGATCCGTTCGATTGTTGTTCCTCGAAACACCGCCCTCGACAAAGTTGACGTTAGAGGCTTGACCGTGCTTAGGCTTTGCTGGACGGTGTGCGTGGTTCTCGAGAGAGGTAAGCTCAGTTAAATCCGCAAGGTCACGGTGCGTGGAGTGCGGTGCGCGTGGCGCGCTCCACAGTGGGCCAAAAGCCCGTTGGAGGCGGGGCGGGGCCCGGGAAAAATCCCGGGCGGGTTTCGAGCTCCAGAGTCGCTAAATTGAACTCAGACCGAACGTGTGATCCCACCAATGGATCGCTTTCTGATTGAGGAATCCATTGGTGGGGTCACACGTTCGGTTCGAGTCCTGTTTAGCGCCCGTGGAGCGTAAAACGCGTCGAGAGTTTACGCTGCCTGCGTCGGTCTTCTGGCCCACTGCGCGCCCGCAGCGAGACGTCTCATGGGAGGCGCCTGAAGGTAGGCATCCCTTCGTGCGCCCGTGTGAAGCGGCGCGGCCTCGGCGCGACGCAGGCGCCATCGGCCTTGACGGAGGACTCTACCAAGACGGAGATCGTCCTGTGGTGTAGCGTACAGCTTGGGGTCGTCCACATTGTGCAATGCCTTATGCCTGTCCCGCACTAGCACTCATTGAAAGTCGCGGGAAGTCTATAAAGAGCGACAAGGACAAAGTTGTGGGACAGCGTTACGTAATAGTATACTCTTATAAGAGGACAACACATAGGAGAGCAAAAGAAAATAAAAGAGGAGGCGACTGTTAGTAAACTGGTTTATTCGTACGCACAGCAATTTTGAGTGAGCGTTTTCAAAATCACCTCACCAGTACATCAAAAAAACATTCCAACGATCAGACTTACATCAAAATGATTCCTATGTACATTCACACTGTATAGAACGAAGAAACTCATGATTTCAAAATGTACAGAATTACTAGCTAAAGTCTAAGACTTCTTAAGGCTTCGCGATGTTGGTTTAATAAGGCTCCGCCTTTATGCAGCTTATATTCAAGCCTTTATTCAAGTCGATTCAAGTTGTGAGGATGCTGTGTTGGTGGGGTGGGTCTGGGTGCATGGCTGCTGTGTTTTGGGGGGCGGTGTCGTAGTTGTGGGCTGGTTTGCCACCATTCCGTTTCAGAAAATATCAGAACTTTTATTTAATTCAAACACATTTTTTGCACACTCCGTCCGCACCATTATCTACCACTGATGTACAATATTATATCCTTATTAACATTTCTTTATTCTCATCCCCTCTTTCAAACACGACTCCTCTTTTCCAACATTTTTTTTCTTTCTATGTTGGCAGTAAAATGCCCCATCCCACAGTCACAAACTTACACTATCAAACATGTAGGAGCTCTCACCTTTCTACCAATACATATAATAAGTTTTCGAAGCATCTTTTGCCGAATATTCATTTCTACATTTCCCCGCTTCTTTCTTCTGCTATTATGCATGCTAAATTGTTCATTTCCCCCATTTCCTATCCATTACGGCCAGCTTGTTAAGGTTGGCATCACACTTTCAAAATAATCAACCGCACGTCCACGGATCACCATTGCTCGGTCGGCGCCCCTTAGACTTCTGGCCGAGTGGGATGAAGCTTAAGAACAATTCGACGAAACTTCGAAGTGGCACTCAGCCAATCATACAAAAATAAATATGTCGAAACAGGGTTCAGCTCCCTTGGACGTCCGCTGAAATTCACTAATCCCTAGTAGGAAAATTTAAATTAGGATTTGAATAAATACGAATTTCTACAAAATATGACACACACGCGACACGCTATCGCGACTGTTGTGGCTCCCTTATTCTAGACATGAAATATTTACACATGTGAGCCGGGCGGCGGAATGGTGCTCAAGCTTTCCGGCTGCCAAGCCCCCTTTCCGGGCGTGGGTAACTGTAACCCTCGTCCTCGCCCCCGTCCGAGGAGGGCGTGGGGGCTGGTGTCGGCGCGGGGGTCGGACTGGGGCTCGGACTGGGGCTCGGACCCGGCGCAGGCTCCTCGGGGGCGCCAGGGCCGGGTAACTCAACACCGCCCTCCGCGTCCCCGCCAGTGGGTCCCGGTGCCGGGAACGGCTGTCCACCCGGAGGGGGGTAGTCGTAGCCCTCTTCATCACCTCCAGCGGGAGGCTGGGGCTGAGGCCCGGCGCCTGGCGTCGGCTTCAGCTCCGGGGCCGGGGTCGGCTTGGGCCGAACCGGGACGGGGGACGTCGGCACCGGGGCCTCGGGCTCCGGCGTGTCAGGCTCCGGCGCGTCGGGTGTGGGGGAAGGGCCCGGGGCTGGTTCGGCAGGCGACGAAGGCTCTGGTGCCGGTGAGGAAGGCCCGGGCGCCGGGGAGGAAGGCCCTGGCGTTGACTGGCCGGGTGCTGGCGACGGCCCTGGGAAGGGCTGGCCCGGCGGCGGGTAGTCGTAGCCCTCCTCATCGGTGGGCTCGGCCGGCCCGGGCGCAGGCTTGCCGCCGGGCGTGGGCTTGGGGTAGATGTAGCCGTCGTCCTGTCGCTTGAACCGGTGCAGAGCGAGGACGGGCCTCGCGCTGGGGCGCATGTGACCGCGGTACATCGGCGACCTGGGCGGCCCGTGCGGCCCGTGGCTGTCCATGAGGATGAGGGCGCCGCGCGGGGGCTCCGACAGCACTTCGACCGGCCGACGGTGTCCATGTCCGTGGCTGTGGCCGTGGCCGTGCACAGGCCGCACGGTCTCCATCAGCACGCCCTCTTCGTCGACGAACTCCGTCACCTCGTGCTCGGGCTTCTTCGGCCGCTTGTTCTTCTTCTTGTTCTTCTTGGGCTGCTTGCGGGGCGCCGGGGTGGCCTCGGGGAGCACGGTGGCGATGTCGGCGACGGGCGTGGCACTCTGCTCGCGGAGGGCGTCGGCCTGCATGCGCAGCGCGGCCAGGATGGCGTGCGCCGCCAGGTTGTTGTGCTCCTCCTCGCGCTGCCGCTCGGCCTGCCGCTCCGCCGCCAGCAGGGCCTCCACGGACGGCAGCGCGTACGCCATGACGGGCTGCAGGGCCGTCTGAGGCACGAGGTGTGGCACCGGCTGTGCAGCAAGCGGTTGTGGCACGGCGGCCTCGTGGTTCTGCAGCGGGTATGGAGCAGCGGGCGCGGCGCTGGGGAACGCAGCCAGCGGCTGGTACTTGAAGGCCTGCTCGTTGGAGCTGGCGCTCTGGTCGTGGACGGGCACCCTCCGCGCTGGCTTGGCGAACGAGTCCTCCGACGGCTTGGAGAAGGCCGGCAGTTTGGACGGCCCGAGGTTCAGCAGGAAGGGTGCGTCGACGTGCTCGGGCTCCGGAGCGCTGGGCCTGCTGCTGCTGGCGGTGACCGCCGGCCTGGAGAAGTAGTACCCCTCGCTGGCCGGGTCCACGTCGAAGCCGGGCCTCTCTTCGCCCTCCGTGACGGGGGTGTAGTCCACGCCGGTGAGCTCGGTGAAGGTCTCCGCTTCGTGCTGAGGCCCTGATCGGGAGGAAATGGTGGGGGCCGCCATGGGGTACTCGTGGAAGTCGTCCGAGACCGCCACCCTGCTGATGCCGCCGGCGCGGAGTCCGCTGCCGATGGGTCGACGGCTAGGTGCGCGCTGCACGGCGGGCCTCTCGCAGAGGAACATGTGCGCGGGGTCGTCGCAGATGTCGCGCGGCCTTGCGGTGGTGGGCGGCCGGTGACTCGCCGAGAAGGCCGGCCACGCCTTGGTGGAGGCCGCGTCGTCGGCGTCCTCGCCGAGGATCACCTCCTCCTGGACCGGGGCCGCCGTGGTGTCCGACAGCCCAGCGTACGGCCTCGTCGCCGGCTTGGCCGGGACCCTCTTCCGCGACTTGTCCACCACGACCTCGTCCACCTGCGCAGCCTGCGGTTGGAAGGCCGGCGCCACCGCGGCCTCGGCCACGTCGCCGGGCAGGTACAAGTTGGTGTAGATGATGGTGGGCTGCTTGGCGGGCTTGGGCCTGTTGCGCCGCGCCATGGTTACGGGCAGTGCGCGCCGCGTCGTCGGGGCCTCCGTCGTGGTCGTGGTGGTGGAGGTCGTGGTGGAGGTGGTCGTCGAGGTCGAGGAGGTGGAGGCCGCCCCGCGGACTCGCTGCGGCCGCTTCCTGCTGCCCGTCGGCTGGCAGAAGTAGCTGTTTGGGGACTGCCGGCAGAGGTCGCGCGCGTCCTGCAGCACGGCCTCGTCGGCGTCGGCCTCCTCGACCGGGGCGGCGGTGGTGGTCGACGGCCTCTGCCGCCGGAACAACGCGGTGCGGTCTACCTTGGGCCGCAGCGTGGGGGAGACGCGCTGCGCCTGGCGGTGCAGGCCGTTGTCCTCGTGCTCATCGTCGTCCAGGACGTCCAAGACGGGTGCGGACGCGGGCTTGCTGTGGGGTCGCGAGGAGTACACGCCTGAGGGGAGCCTCGTCGTGGCGCGGAGTCGGTCCCCGTACGTCGTGGCCGAGGCCGTGAGCTCGGCCTCCTCGGCCGGGACGCTGGGCGCCAGCAGCACGACCAGCACGGCCATCGCGGCGCAGGTCAGCCGCGTGAGACGCGCCTGGAACACAATCAGGAATTCATTGAACAGAGCACGACAGAGCACCACCAAGCGGCCAAAACTGGTGCCTCGGTAGATCTGGAGAGCACTTTTACGCCTTCCCCCGAGCGTAATGGTTGGTAGGCTTAATTCAAGCTAATTTTTCCGTTCAGCTCCTCTCCCGCCTACACAAAAAATGCGTGGGAAAATTTTCCTCTTCTAAGATTTACTTCAAGCGTTATGTTTTCGAGCGTGGTGGCATCGTATGTTTGAATGAAGCGCAAGTTACACTTCGGTTTTCCCAGTGCTCGCACCCTGTCGGTCTGAGGCAATCCACCGTGCTCCGATTGCACTCGCGCGCCGCTCTTTCGTAAACCGTGACCCATCAGAAACCGTTTACACACCTCCCGTAAAAATAACGAATCGGCGCTCGAGAGCGAAATCACGTGCGGAATCGTTCCTCCGCGAGGCGTTAAAAACAAAAGTGCGAGTTGTTTTTGTAGCGCGGCCATCAATCGGCTTTGGCAGCGGCCTGCGGGCTGCGTCCGAGCGTCGCTCTGTCTCTCTCGCACTCATGGGGCGTGCCGTGTGGGTGCGAGAGAGACAGAGCGACGAAGACGACTCTCGGACGCGGTCCGCTGGACGCGACGCGCCGGCCGGCACCGCCTGCACGCACTCGGCTTGACTCGGCGAAGCCTCTTTTACAACCCCGCTCTCCTTGCCCTCGCAGTGCCTCGCAGTGCCTCGCCGTGGAGACAGGTAAAGCACCAGCGGGAAAGCGCTGCCGATCGGCGGCGATAAAAGAAACTACTCATGGAAGTGCAGTCACGAGGCTGCGCGATCCTCTTCCTGGCCAAGGCCGTCGTCGGGCCGGGTGGGTAGTGCCACGGCTGGTTGAACGGCCACGTGCTGGACCGCCCCACAGTGGGCCAGAAGACCGGTGCAGGCGGCCAAAACTGTTGACGCGTTTTGAGCTCCAGAGTCGCTAACTGTGACTCCAACCGAACGGGGGGCCCCTACCAATGGATTCCTCGTTCGAAGAACAATCCATTGGTGGGTTCACGCGTTCGGTTCGAGTCCCATTTAGCGACTCTGGAGCTCAAAACGCGTCCGGGGTTTTGACCGCCTCCGCCGGCCTTCAGGCCCACTGTGCGCCCTCGCCCTCGCCCTTACTTTGGCCCGCAATAAATGGCCTCGGGACCTCGGCGGCTCGTCAAACAAGCCAAAGGAAGCCATTCGGCCAAAGGCAGCCAAGCAGCCAAAGCGGTCCCGTGCCGCGCCCTGCGCCCTCACCGGGTCGGGCGGAAAGGTGCCTCCGGTCGGTTCTGAGATGAGATTCTCTGCGTGGCCGAGAGGGACGGCACTCTTAGAAACGGTGACCCGACTACCCTATAACGTTCTATGACGCAATATCACGCTACTACAGAAGACTCATTTCGCCGAACCTGTCTCTTCGTCTTTTGTCTCTCGCACTCAAGCAGTGGCCCGGAGAGGTGAGCGAGAGACAGAGCGACGAAACACTGTTCGGAGTAACACTGTGAGGTTGGACGCTGTGGATCCACAACGAAAAGGCTGGACTTCCTGACACAACCTCCACGTTGTGGATCCACAAGGCAAAGCGGGGTTGTAGATGCCGTCTGGGACGGTGGGATAATGAGGGTTTGACGAGGGTGTGACAGCTGCGTTGCCGCGCTAGCGAAAATTAGGAAGACCGTCATTTGGAGTCGTACCCGGGCCGGTGGATTACCAGCTCGGCGCTTTACCACTGCGCTAGCGAGGCGGCTGTGAGGAGACGGGTCCAGCAGCGCCAACTATCCGCCGGCCCGCCCGGCAGCTGCCTCGCTGGCTCCCCCCTCTTTCCCCCTCCCCGCCGCGCCGTGTCACGTGGTCTCGCAGGTATAGCCGGTCGGGGCAAGCACGAGGACATGGTTGTGGATCCACAAGGTTGTCACGGCCTCGTCAAGAGGGCAGGTAGCCGAACGGACCCTTCACGGATCCACAACCCATCCTGAGGTTGTAGATGCCGTTTGGGGGGCAAAAGGTTGTGGATCCACAACGTGCAACCTCACAGTGAACCCGCGCATCGCCCTGGAATCAGCTCACTCGTGATTCCCGTCACGCCCGTGGTGGCAGCCATATCTCAGCTTAGGCACTCCATGAAACGTGGGTTTATCGGACTGCCGCCTTGCAGGACCCACACTGTCTTAAAGTGCACCAACATATTATGGTGGAGATTTTCTCTATGGTTCAAAAGACATTCGACAAAATATTTCCGAAGGTACAATGAAATTTCATAGGTAAGTTGGTCAGCTGCACCTAGCAAGGAGAAAACTTTGTCAGTGTGGGAAATTTGAACCAAGATGTGAAGAATTTTCACCATGATATGAAGAATTTTCACCATGATGTGAAGAATTTTCAACATGATATGAAGAATTTTCACCAGAATGTGGAGAATCTTCACAATAAGACTTTAAGAGTGCGTTGTCGTACTGCGGGGGCTGACCTGCCTGCGTCAACCGTCAACCCCTACCACCATCGCCCCCGGCCAGGCCCGGTTAAACCCTGCCAGGACACAAGTTTTTATATTGGGCCCGGAGACAGAATTTTTATAACACAAACAAGTGGCGGGCCATCCATCCAATATTATTTGGGCCCACAGGCTGCGCGCTGCGGCTGGCCAGGCCAGGCCGGCCAGGCCTCCTACAAAGGAAGGACTTCTAGTGTGGGGAGCGAGGACGTGGGGTGGACGCAGCAGGGGGCAGTTGGTGACGTCATTGGAAAAGTTGATTCATCTTCGCGAAACAAAATTCCTCCTAGATTAAACTGGCGCATGCCAGTTTTCCCTGTCGTCGCCGTCGAGATACACTGAGAATGAAAGAGTCATGATCATGACTAAAATTTTGGGCGAGGAATTCCTTATCACCCAAATTTGGGTGAGGAAACCTTCCCCACCCAAATTTCGGTCATAAGTCTATGGAGCCATGTAGGTAGCTGATACACCTTTCCTCACCCAAATTTGGGCGAGGAAACAATCCTCGCCCAAATTTGGGTGATAAAGTACACCTCGCCCAAAATTGGGTATTGATCATGACTTTTTCATTCTCAGTGTAGTCATCCCCGTACAGACTTCTTTCGGTTATTACCCGCGGATTTGCCCCCTCCGAATCCTACGGAGACCACCAGACCGCGTAAGCAGGATCTGAGCCCCTGTGCCACCCCACCGCCTGCTCTGGCGGCCCGGCCCGGCGCGGTGAAGGGAGTAATCCTGACTTCGGCGATCTGTCCATGATCGATCATCCCCAAGAAGAAAGACGGATATTATTATTTCCGAGAGGATCTCTTTTCGCAATATGCACGGACCCCACAAGACCTGACCAACTCCAACTTGAGCTTCTCGATAGTCCTTGTTCGATTCACAAACTTGGGGGTATCAACGGCTTGCCCCCCCCCCCACACACCACACACACACACAAACGGGGAAGCCACTGTACACGGCGCTCTGCGACACCCTTCGCGGACGGCGCTAAGTCCTGCCGCAGTACGCCACGTGCAGCTGTCTCTCTCGCACCCGAGCCACAGTGGGCCAGAGGACCGGTGGAGGCGGCCAAAACTCCAGACGCGTTTTGAGCTCCAGAGTCGCTAACTGGGACTCGAACCGAACGTGTGACCCCACCAATGGATTGCTCTCCCAACGAAGAAACCGATGGTGGGGGTCACACGTTCGGTTCGAAATCCATTTAGCGACTCTGGAGCGCAAAACGCGTCTAGAATTTTGGCTGCCTCCACCGGTCTTCTGGCCCACTGAGCGAGCGTGACGCCGCCATGAGTGCGAGGGAGACAGAGAGTGACGACGCAGTGAGCTGCGGCGGACCGTCGCGTGTGATCGCACTTTGACCACCGCGTTCCATTCCGTCCGTTCCGACTGCCATTGGCTGCGGGGGAATTCGAAGGCTGGGTCAGCCAGGCAGGCATGGCGGTCCCGGAGTCACACACGACGCACGGACGCACATGGCGCCGTGCCACGCCACACCACACAGTGGGCCAGAAACGGGCGGAGGTGGCCAATATTCTAGACGCGTTTTGAGCTCCAGAGTCGCTAAATGGGACTCGAACCAACCGTGTGACCCCACCAATGGATTGCTCTCCGGACGAGGAATCCATTGGTGGGGTCACACGGTCGGTTCGAGTCCTATTTAGCGACTCTGGAGCTCAAAACGCGTCTAGAATTTTGGCCGCCTCGGCCGGTTTCTGGCCCACTGTGCGCCACGCCGTGCCGAGGTGAGGAAGGGCGAGGAGCAAAACCTTTCTCGCTTCTCTCCTATTATTTTCTCCTTTCCTTGGCAGGACACCAGCAGGATGTCACTGGGGAGCACGCCGCGGCCACGCACTTTTACACGCATCGACTCGCTGACGTCGCAACCGTGGGTTCGATCCTCGCCGTTTTCTAGTCGTTTCCGAGGAGTGAGCCATTTGGGCAGGCATTGTCAAATGGGTCCCATCACCGAAAAAAAAACCAAACCCTTCAACTTGTAAGTCTTTACATATACATCATTAAAAATGAAATAGGAGGAACTGATTATTTTTGGCACACGCGTAATTAAAAGTTTAGGCAGAATTTTGAGCATGTGTAAGGTCCAAAAGACACACTGTAACCGTGAAAGGCTGCACTACCATGTTATGGTGGAGATTTTCTCCATAACACAAACGAAATTCGCCAAAATATCTGAGTCATGGAAGAGTACAAGGTGCAGATTGACGAGCAGTCAGCCGAGAAGGTGCGAGGAGACGGTCGAGCGCACGCGTAGACTGTTTAAGTCGAGTCAGAGCGGCAGAGGCTGGGCAGGCCACGTCACAACAACACGGTGCCGAATCGATTACGTCAGCACAGAACGAAGGTGCGAGCGAACGCGAGACATAAGTGGCACGAAGGTTTGCAGACC